GTGTATTAGCGTACTGATCATGATGGTTTAATCATTATCATGTCGTGATTAAAGTCGCGTTGGTTCCATAATTGATACATGAGCTGGACCAGATGGGTTCATGAGATGTCTAAGTGCAAATAGCATATGGTCACACGCCTACAGAATTTTGTGATATGATTATTTATGAAAAATATGCAGCCGAAGTAGGAGATTGTTAGAAAATTTCATTTCCTAATATAATTAAGTGTTAAAACCTTATTCTGGCCCGGACTATACCCACATAAGCAAATTTGCCTAATGATCTAAAAAATTGCTATTTTGGCCTCAATTATACACCATATAGACTTAATTCGTCAGATTCGTGAATTTCTGTAAAATTAAACGGTCAACAATATTGAAAGTTAGTGAATCACTATGTTATGCTCACTCGGCCCACACAGCCCCATCCCTTTCCCAACCCTTCTTCCCCCGCGTCCATCACAGGATCCCACTCCCACAAATTCACTCCCTCAAGACCCATATCCTAATTTCTCCCCTAACTCCTAAAACAACCAAATTGCCACTCCATTTTCCCCCAAAATCTCGACATTGCCGCACACCATCTTCACCAATCCCGATTTCTTCGCGGCGCCCACGATCATCTTCTCCCGAAGCGGAGACCTGCCACATTCTTTCACCAGATTGAGATGTGGGTCAACCTTCTCGGCGCCGTTAATTGCAAGGTCGAGGGTGGGATGAGAGTCGAGATCTGAAAGCGAGATTCCGAGAGTCGACGCTTGTTGGTGGGTCTGTTTGGACGTTGGGATGCCTATAATTTCCTTCAACTTACCTTGCTGGAGCAAATCAGAAATTAGGTCAACGGCGTGCTTGGTTGTGGAGCCGGTCCTAAGGATGATGACCATGCTGGATTTGACGGCCTCGCAGACGGTAATTTTCTTGAGTTCTTCTTGGGAGAGGATTATAGGGGAAGGGGATAAGGAGGGTGCGGAAAAGCGGTAGAAAGGTTGGGGGAGTTGACAATGTAGGGAGACGAGAATTTTGGAGGTTAGAAAGGGTGTCGCGGTGGCGGTGGTGGTGGAGAGGCGAATGAGGGATAAGGGTTTAATTTGAGAAGAATGGTCTTTTTGTTGGATTTTATTATTGTTAATTATTATCTTGTTAATTAAATAAAGAAAATAATAAAATAATTTGATTATTTTTTGTTTGGTCCTGAATCCTGACATGGTAGTAAGCTGAATTGTCGACTAACGGTCAACGATGTTGACCATCTTACTTGACGGTCAAGCCACGTGTCGTGCCAATTGAGTCTATATGATGTATAGTTGAGGCCACAATGACAATTTCTGAAACCACTGGCTAAATTTGATTTTATGGGTATAATTTGGGTCAACATAAGGTATCAACCCTACAATTAATTATATGGATAACATATTTTACACAATCATATTAGCTATTTGTTAAGTGGGCTAATTGTAAGTGATCAAATTGAGGAGCCCAAGACAACTCAAACCCAATATGAGTCCATTGGGTGGAAACCCAATACTTGGTCATCTTGAATTTTATGGGAGCCCAGGGTGACTAGTATATAAAGAGTTCGAGGTTGTGTTTCCCAATACACAAGATCAACACTTTCTCCTCTTCTCTCCATCAAGATGATGAGAGCTCTCACTGCAGCGTCTTGGTTGAGAAAAATCATAGTACCGCTAGGATCGTGCTTTCAAAGGTATCGTCCGGCCATAGATTGTTAATTTGTTATACAAATTCCGCATCAAGTTTCTGACGATCTATCATCGTGAATCCAGGTATTCCTATTAACCTTTCATAATCTGACAAGTAAATTCTTAACATTAGGAATTCAATTCAAATTTGAACATGACTTTACGAACATAAGATTTATTGGACAAAAAATTTTACACTCGAATTATTTTAAAATAAAATGAATTCTTAAGATGAGATTAACTTAAAGAAACTTTTTAAAATTAATATCCATCCCTGATTCCCTAATTTTTTTTTGTCACAGATACAGAATAAAAGCTTTTTCAAGCGAAAAAAATAAAGCAAAAACAAGCAAGGACAATGCCCAACAAAATGTCGGACATCGAAAAGAGAGCCTTTTCTGCCACGAATGGCTGGCTCTTTAATACCTTTCCGGCATAGGACAAATCGTGACTTAAATTCTACCCTTTGCAGGGAGAAAGTCACTGATTGAAGCCCATGAAAGCTGAAAGCATGACAGCAGACCCCTGCAAATGTAACAAATAATAACAAATATAGTATGATATAAAAGATTAGGAAGTAAAATCCGAGACATCCTGGCGGCAAAACTGATGAAGTTCGCTCGTCTTTAGACTTTTGGCAGGCCCACCTACAAAACAAACAAAGAAACACATACCACAACCAAATTTGGGGATTGAACCCCATTTCCCCTTCTTTTGCTCCAATGCAACAAACTCCATATTTGGGGATCTTAATATTTCAAGTTTTTCCATTTATTTAAATATGTACTTATCGAAACTTTAATATAATTTGTTCATGTTAATTTTTGTATAGTTCGTCATCAGTTTTAAATACAAATTTTTTGATAGAATTTTGTTAAATTTCGAGACCGAATTTTTTTGGGAGAAAAATTATGGACCTAATTTGGGTTTACACACAACACTTGAAAATGATAAAACTTAACGAGTTGACATAATAATTCAAATGGTACAATTCATAGGTTACACACAAACTAAAAAGCCTAAATACAAACAATAATTCCCCTTCCCCTAATTATTTACATTCAATTCCCTTAATCAATTACCTTAAATAACTTATAAACAATTAAAAAAAAAGCTGCTGGGCGGCACAACCGCCGGGGCTGGGCGGTGCGCCGCACGCGCAAGGTAGAGAGCCCCGTCGGTTGTGCCGCCCAGCAGACAGCTCTCCTCCATAAATGCCGAAATCGGCAAACCGTCCCCCATTTATAGCGATCCAATTGCCGATCGCCTCCATAATTGCCGATTTTCGCCATTTATTTCTCTGCGTTGGAACTCCATGATTGTCATTAATGGCGACAACCCCATAAATGCAGGCTGCATTGGACCAGTCTAATTGTAGGTAAGATAAGCCCCAGGTGGTAGCTCAAACTGTGAAACCGCAATAAAAATTGTTAATTAAGGAAAAGGTAAGGTAGTGATAGGAAATAATAATGAAATAAAAAACATATAAGAGAAGGATAACGCCTACACGCGCCAAGAGTCCCCAAATTACTTTACTCCTTTATCTTCGGCGGATGAGGATGAAAGACACGTGGGCTAGCGGGATGCCTCGCACGCCTGTACAGACACGTAATGCCCTCGCTGGCAATAAGCGAAACGGAGAATTGCGGCCGGCGATGACCACCGCGAAGGCCTAGCAGGTGTTGGATAGTGCTGTTGGTGTGTTGATAGTCAAGAAGCTGAGAAACTCAGGCGGCTGACAGTAGCGTAGCGCAAGGACGACCGAAAACATGCGGAAACTGCAAAAGAACTAGAATTGATTATGATTAGTAGAGATAAGGGCCCCTACTAGCCAAACTCAAGATAGGGTGCATAACCCATGGTTATGCACCGATCAATAACTAAATATGGACTCTTCATTTAGAAAATCCAGATCTAAAGATAGAGAATTAAATGTCATTTTATTTTTCCTAGCTTTCTTAATCGACTCATTTCTTTTTCGTTTTAACTCCGATTTTAATTTTTTCTGCACAGATGGAACGAGTTCATAGTGCTCTACAAAATGAGATCAATTTTCAATATTTTTTGAGAAAAAAAAATTTCGCCTCTCGGTACCAACTACATACCATATGGTATCTTCTTCGCTTTTAATTCGTTTTTGAAAATGTTTGCACAGAAGGGACGAGTTCATCATGATCTATTGGGTCTACAAATTTCTGGGTGAACAAATTACAGGACCAAAAAAATACCACACAATACCATACAATACCACCCTGGTACGAGGTGGTATCTTGTGGCACACAATGTTAAAAGTCGTAAATGACAATTAATATACTTCTACTATCGTGTATTCAACCATTCTACAGTCTTGGTTTGTTCATACCACCATGGTATGCTTTTCAAACCATAGGTATGCTTTTATTTCAATACTAGTCAATACCATATGCTATAGACTGGTAAAAAATGGCTCAATTTTTTTTGTTCGAAAAATATATCAAAGTGGATATCATTTTGAAGAGCACAATTAATCTGATCTAACTGTGCAAAGAAATTAAATTTCGACTTAAAACGAGTGAAAAATCGTCCGTCAAAGATTAAGGAGGGGCAAATTAAAGGCTTTATAGAAAAGAGAGGATGCCGATGTCATGCTGCTGTGGATGGGTTACTCACGATTATTCACATAAAGATTACTCAACTGATATGTTCCCTATTGGCCACATCACACAAGGCGATTTCAAGTCCGATGGAAATTAATTCGCCGCCAAATCTAAAAAGCTAAATAAATGGGAGACACGAAAATTCTTATACACAGCCGACGGCGGCTGAGGAGGAGAAGGAAGCAAACAGAATGCTGTGGTCATGGTAGGGGATTGGCGGCGGGAGAGGTCGAGAGCTGGTGGGAAATTCATTTCAGAGCCTCCTCCACCTGCAAATTCAAATAACCCAAACAGCAACTGTGAAGTCGGCGACGGGAGCACCCCTTGCTGTTGCTGTGATACAAGGGGAGCCAGGGGCGAGAATCCAGAGAAGTGCTTGTTATTAGGATCCAAATAAGGGAGGGAGTTGTGGAGGTAGCACATGTAAGCGGAGACTGGTGACTCGCCGGAAACGGCGGTAAGAGAGACAGGGGAGTGGGAGGGCGGTGTGGTTTCTGCTCTGCATCCCTAATTCCCTATTCGATTAGTTATTCGTGCTGGTTTTTCAAGAGCTAACGAAAACATTCGCTTGGCATTTTTTTTTTTATAGAAAGGCGGTGGCTCAGGGCGGCCTATCTCGTATTAATAACGGGAAACTCTCATAACATTCGCTGTCATTCCGGCAATGAGCTCTTCCGGTCTCAAACTTCTTCTCAATTTACTCGAATTCTCTCATCTGCACAAATCCCTCAACTTTATTCGACAGTGTCACTCTCGCATTTACCCTCTTGGCTTCGCCCAGAACCCGTTCTTGGCAACCAAACTCATCTCCTTGTATGCTCTCTGTGGCCTCCCAACTGAGTCACAACTCGTTTTTGGTTTGCTCCCAGACAGGAGCGTGTTCCTCTGGAACGCAATTATCAACGCGTACGTGAAAAATCGAGCTTATGGCCAGTCTTTTGCTTTGTTCTGTGAGATGTGTCGTGGCTCTGTGTCGCCTGATGATTACACCTTGGCAACGATGTCGAAAGCGTATGGGGAATCAAGAGACTTGTATGCGGGGAAAATGATTCATGGGAAGACTATGAGAATTGGGTTTGTCTGTTGTACCGTTGTAGCAAATTCTCTTATGTCCATGTATAGTAAATGTGGGGAGCGCAAAGAATGCTTGAAACTGTTTGATGAAATGCCGCTGAGAAACGTGAGTTCTTGGAACATTATTATAGCTGGGCATGCAGACCAAGGAAAAGGTAGTTTGGTGCAGGAGATGTCTCGTGTGGTCAAAGATATGGAGAATGAGGGATTAAAGCCTGATGCATTTACAGTGTCTAGTCTTCTGGGTTTGTGCTATGATGCTCACTGCAGCCTGGACTATGGAAGGGAACTTCATGGGTATCTATTACGGAACGAATTGGGTAGCGGCCTGGCTTCAGATGCTCATCTGGGCTGTTGCTTAATTGACATGTATTCAAGGAGCAACAGAGTTGATATAGGGAGACGGGTGTTTGATGAAATGAAGAATCGGAATGTTCATTCTTGGACCGCACTGATCAATGGTTATATGTTAAATGGAAAGGTGGAAGAAGCTTTATGTCTTTTGCGTCACATGCAGGTCGGAGATGGATTAGAACCTAATAGTGTATCGCTTTTGAGTGTTCTTCCAGCTGGTAGGTCACTTGCTGGTTCAAGTTTTGGGAGACAAATCCATGGATATGCGATTAGAAAGCAATTAAATTATGATGTTTCTTTAGGCAATGCTTTGCTGGACATGTATTTGAAATGTGGGAGCTTGAGTTACGCAAGACGAATCTTTGATGATGTTTCTTTTCCTAGAGATGCAATCTCTTGGAGTTCAATGATTTCTGGGTATGGGTTGCATGGGAAAGGAGAAGAAGCTATCTCCCTATACTATAAGATGCTTCGTCAAGGATCTAAACCAGACATGATAACCATAGTTGGTATTCTTTCTGCCTGTGGGAGGTCGGGGTTGGTAAATGAGGGCCTTCATCTCTATTATGCTGCTGTATATGAGTATGGGCTGGAGCCAACAGTTGAGATCTGTGCTTGTGTGGTTGATATGTTAGGAAGATCAGGCCAGCTTGATGAAGCACTAGATTTCGTCAAGAAAATGCCAATAGAGCCTAGTCCAAGTGTTTGGGGAGCTCTTGTGAGTGCTTACACAATGCATGGAAATTCTGAGATGCAGGATCTAGCATACCGATCCCTTGCACATTTGGAACCTGAAAACCCATCAAATTACATCTCTCTTTCAAATGTGCTTTCTTCTTCCATGAGATGGCATGAGGTTGCTGCTATCAGAACAATGATGAAAGAAAGGGGGTTACAAAAAACTCCAGGTTGCAGTTGGATAAGCCTTAACAATGGAACCCACAGTTTTTATGCCGCTGATAAGGTTCATCCTTCTACAGAGCCAATATATGAAATGCTGCAAGGCCTCATCTTGGTGATGAGAGAAGCTTCTGATTCTCTTAGTATTGATGATGTTATGTGTGTACATTGAAAATTGATCAACGGTTTTCTGCATTCTTGTTCTCCAATGAATGATGGCATCTTGAATTATCACAAGACAGTTGAGGCTGACTTGTGTTTCTGTGCTTGTTGTTGGGACATTGTTCTTCAAAGGTTCGTCTACTGCAGTCTTCTTCTGGATAAATGATTTCAACTCCAAAATTTAATAGAGTGGATTAGATTTTTTTCATTCCTATTGCTGCTAGATTTCAAGATACGTCTACTGCTGTTGCCTCTAGTAATTCAATTATGTAGTAAAATGTGAGAAACCCGCTTCTAGGGTCTCTCGGGACTGATCTTCGGCACCCGTAACTCTCGTGATGATTAGGGATTTAGGGTTGAGATTAGGGAATTAGGGATTTAGATGAGAAAGAATAGAATAGAATTGGGAATCGGCATAGGACTTGGATTATAAGAGAATAGAAATTAGGAGTTGAGTTGAGAGGATAAACTAGGGTTTAGGAGATTCTTCTTAATATTGTTCTTGACTGATTGTGACGTAAACCCAAAGTACATATTTATAGGGAAATACTGGAAAACCCTAATAATAATCCTGATATGACTAAATCTCTACTAACCATTATTATAATTATCCTACCTAATATAATAATAGAAACCTCAAATAAATGGGTTTCTGACAATCCATCCCCCTTGAAAACTACCTTGACCTCAAGGTTGTAGTTGACTTCTACCTCCTTGATCTTCCGCTTTCTTCGTTTCCAATTGACCTCAAGGTTGTAGTTGACTTCTACCTCCTCCTACCATGTGGCACCTACATCCTAACTCATAGTCGAACAATTCTCCATCCTCTCGTTCGAAGTCCACGAAATAAGAATGAAAGAACTCTTCTCTAGATGAGTTTGGGCTAAGCTCCTTTGAAAGCAAACCACCCAAGTTTATCTTCTTTAAATCACAATCCACATTGACCTCACTCTTTTCCTGCAAAATAGATCCAATAAAAGAGTAAATTCGTGGCCCATTCTGCTGCTCTAGTTGGCCCAAAACGAGCCCATCAAGTTCTTTTCTCCTAGGACTCTTGTCCACTTTCTCCATTAGGAAGCCCACTCTTCTTGACCCATTACCATAGGCGATCAGAATAGGTTGACCCAGCCAATGCAGTCATAATCGCGATTTAAAACTTAAAAGCTTACGATTTTACCTTTTTTGGCTCACCAAAACGCTTCTACGTATAATCATGATTTCTCCTTACAAATGTAGTCAAAATCTACGTTTTAAAACTTAAAAGCTTACGGTTTTACGCTTGTAGGTCACCCAACGTTTCTAGGTAGAATCGCGCTTTTAACTACATTGGACCTAGCGGATCCAACCTACCCATGGTAAGCCCGACGAAAGTTGGCCCGTACGAAGACTCCGGCTGACCGGCTTGGCCCAACGGAACGGCCCGCCACAGTGTTGTTTGGCTCACGACTGGCGTCCTAGGGTTCATGAGAGAAGGGAAGACGTCCGCCTCCTTCTCCTCGTTCGCCGTAGTCTGCAACTCCCTCGACGGCACCGCCTTCGTCCAGGTCACCATCTCTGGTAACAATGCTCGACGACCACGAGTCCATCCCGAACCCACCGCCGTCTTCAGCTCCGCCTCGTACTCCGACGACGGCTCAATCTCGGTCTTCCTCATCGATGTCGCCTCCTCGCTCAGCGGCGACCCACCCGGCCGACGAATCAGAGGCCAACGCGGTCCCGACGACAGCCTTTCCGCCTTCTCTTTCTTCCTGCTCGTCGTCGTCGCGGCAGGGGTCACAATAGATCGCGGCTCTATGCAATTCGCCTCTCCAACGAACCCCCCCCCCCCTGATCAGTCGCTCCTTTCCTCTTCGGCGAGCAGTTCCCATCGGTGATGCTTGACTCTAGCTCTACCTTCACTTCGCTGGACGCCATGGTTGGAGCCAGCGGCCCCAATCCAGCGAATCTCGCCCTCGTGATGCGACCCCGCTCACCCCGCATGGCGTCACTCGAGCTCAAACTAGATATCTACATGGACCATGGTTCAAGAGACGATTTAAGAGGTTTAAAGAGAGCTTGAAAGCATTCAAGGTGGAAGAAAAGGTCTTTGCAAGCAAGGCCTACGAGTTTGTTGATGTGAAATCAATTGGCAGAATATATAATTCTCGTGGTCCAAAGATGAAGGTCCGAGTACGACGATACAAGGATCAAATGGGATCATTCTTGATGGATGTGGACTTGCTAGAAGGAAAGTCCATCACGTTGCTCGATTTATGGACTAGAATGAAGAGAAGATGAGCTTGGTAGAAAGAAGGAAGATCTCCCATGGTGTGAACACAAGGTGTGAAAGGAATACAAGTGTGAAAGGAATATCAGGTGTGAACACAAGTCATGTGAGGGAGGATTGCAAGGCTAGAATCTAGGGAGTTGTTGACCAAGTCTTTTCCTTATCTTTTAAGGATTGTGTTTTCCTTTTACTTTTCCTTTAAGGTTTTGTTTTCCTTTTAATTGTAGGATTTGGTTATTTGTTTGTTTTCTTTCTTAGTTTAGGATTGGATTTTCGTTGCCTATATAAGGAGGATGAGTCCCTCATTGTAATTCATTCTATTATCAATCAACTTTCAAGTTTCAAGTTCAAACGAACTGGTTCTTTGTGCAAGCTTCTGTCGAGAGTGCTCCAGAGGTTTCACGTGTCTCTTATCAACTAGAGAACGCGTCTAGTTGTGGCGAGCTTCTACCCTATATCAATTGCCCCTTTCCACGAGTTGGTGCTGTTCGATTGGTTTCATATACCAATTGCCCTTCATCACGGTTGGGATTGTCCGATTGATTCCGCATTATCTTTTATTTTTCGAGTTCAAGAAAGGAGACATTAAAAAATCATAAAAAGATCGTTGAAGCTGGGTACTTTGGTCATATAATCCGAGTTCGAGGGTTCTCTTCGGATTTGGATCATATCAAGTGGTATCAAGAGCCTGGTTCAAACACAGCGGAGAAGAAGAAGGTTCTTGGGAATCTTGAAGTGTTCTTGAAGAAATCTTGGTGAATTCTTGTGGGCTTATAGCGCAAGAAACACTACCTTGTGCCACAAGAATGGATGATCCAATGAAGGCAATGATGGATCAATTGGCGGAAATTCAGCGAACCTTAGCAGCCAACGCCGCCGACGTTAATGCACGATTCGCCATTGTCGAAGCAAGGCTAGCCGCGCCTCAAGCTCCTGCACAAGAAGCACCGCCAAACCATAATGCCGAGAGGCCTAGGCGAGAAGATGAAGAGCGAGGAGAAAGGAGGATTGTTCCACAACCCATGGCCGAACAATTGAGGCGCCATCGTCCTTTGGGGATGCCGCGAGCAAGGAGAGGGAATCCTCGAGTGCAAGACGAAGAAGGCGAGTATGACGACGATGATGCCAACCTTAGAGAAGTTGAAGATGAATTGAGAAATGTGAGGGTCACTATTCCATCATTTAGAGGTGCTACCGATCCCGAAGCTTATCTTGATTGGGAAAGAAAAATGGAGATGATTTTCGACTATCACAACTATTCCGAGAGGAAGAAAGTTCAAATGGCTGCAATGGAATTCACGGATTATGCTATCATCTGGTGGGATCAAATCTGTACGAGAAGAAGGAGGGATAGGCAACGCCCTATTGAGACATGGGAAGAGATGAGGAGCATCATGCGAGATAAATTCGTCCCTAGCTACCATCGTAGGGAGATGTATCAAGCCCTACAAACATTACGACAAGGTACAAAAAGTGTAGAGGATTACTACAAGGAGATGGAGATGATGATGATTAGAGCTGACCTTGTAGAGGAGAATGAAGCCACCATAGCACGATTCCTACACGGTCTCAATCGAGAAATCAGGAATGTGGTGGAAATTCAACCATTTAGAGAGTTGTACGATTTGGTTGCAATGGCGGCCAAAGTTGAGAAGCAACAACGTAGTAACCTTGGAAGAAGGTTCACACCTCCCTCTAGCGCACCAAGGCCAGGAGTGCCTTCGACTTCAAACCCTAAGCCAGCCGTTTCAAAACCAGAAGCACCAAAACCGGCAGCCAAGGTTGAAGCACCAAGAGAGAGACCCACAGGCTCCAGTGGAGGAATTCAATGCTTCAAATGTCATGGAAGAGGGCATATGGCCAACCAATGCCCTAATCGAAGAGCTCTAGTCCTACTAGAGAATGGAGAATATGTCTCGGATTCCGAAGAAGAGGAGCACGCGAGGGAGCCATCAGAATCTGAAGTTGACGAATCAATAGAAATGGAGCCCCCTCCTGGAAGTTTGCTTGTCACGAGAAGAATGCTAAGCGTGCAACCCAAAGAAGACCTCGAGCAAAGGGAGAACCTGTTTCACACGAGATGTGTAGTGGATGGGAAGCTGCTCGCCGTGGTGATTGATGGCGGAAGTTGCACTAACGCTATTAGTACCATAGCGGTTAGCAAACTGGGATTGAGCACAATCAAGCATCCCAAACCCTACAAGCTTCAATGGCTCAACGATGATGGTTCAATTAAAGTGGCAAGGCAAACTCTTCTTAAATTTGCCATTGGAGGATATAAGGACGAAGTTCTGTGCGACGTAGTACCTATGCAAGCTACACACGTCCTACTTGGAAGGCCATGGCAATTCGATCGAAGCGCACAACATGATGGAGTCTCCAACAAATATCGATTGATGCATAAAGGAAAGAAGGTCGTGTTGAAGCCCTTGTCTCCCAAGGAAGTCTATGAAGACCAATTACAATTACAACGAAACAGGGAGCAAGAGAAGAAAGCTAGTGTCGTGGGCCAGAAGAAAGGTGAAACTAGTGTCTTGGAGCCTAAGACTTTGATGCTAGCACGTAGTGAAGATGTGAAGCCAACAATTAATGAGTCATCACCTACTCAAGTTGATTTTGTCATGGGAGAAGCCGCACAACAACATCAAATTTCATCCCAAGGCATAATCAACGCATCAAGTACTCCCACACCACCCAATTCTGCTCATGAGCATGGTCAAAACCCTCTTCAATGTAAGTCAATT